AACTTCGTATAACGTGCAGATTTGACAATCAGACAAAAAACAAAATCAGTGATCAATTAACAATTATCTGACGAAATTAATGGTATAAACGCATTCAGCAGTATGCCAACACAGTCGTCGTTATGAACAGAATTAATTAATTAAGATGAATACCAAACCAATAATTTATTCAATATGACCTGTCTAGTGTATTTAAGCGCAGATGGGAAAAGGAGATAACACGAACGATAGTCGATATCTGAACATTTTAATTACACTCAGTTACAATGGTGAGAGAAAGTCGGTGAAAATGTAATGCAGATAATTAATAAATATTCATACTTTTAGTAGATGTTTATTTCAGCCATGCCTATTAGACGCGGGACCAGAGGGACGTAACTTGTCGCCTTCTCGGTGCCAGCCCTTTACAGCTGAGTATCTTGTACGGGCGAGATATGGACATGATGTATAGAAAAGATCAAAGTATCTTGTTGTAAATTGCATTGAGTGCACGTATACGAGATTATATTTATACTATATCTGTACACAAGATAATATTTGACAATGGCGTTTGATATTGTCTAGACATAAACTACGCGTGTATCAGTCTGCACACTTTCATCACCGTCATGGTGTTCCTCTTGTTTATATCCTGTCACTTCCGTAGTTGACGCCGTGACGTCACGAAATGTAAGAGGAAACTGTTTATTACGTCTTTCGAAACATTCCTTCATCACTTAATACTGGCATTTTTTTCCAATCATAAACAAAAATAATTTTTGTAATGATATACTTTGATGGTTGATTTTTGAATTAGGCATTGTCTTCATTTACTTACTTGTGGCATTCAATTTTTAAATATTCATTTAAATAATTAATTCAGTTGTCTGGGTATATATGACATGTCCACTACACTCACCGATTGGATTGGTGGGCATGTCATCCAGTTTATGTAAGGTTTGTATATACAAATTACACAACCGTATTCACGTTTAGTCTGCTTGCTTCTATTCCAACAACCATTGTCGTTTTACTATGATTCCAGCGATAGGTCCGGCATCTGGTCCAGCAACTTGAAAAAAATATTTATGAAATATGCTTAAATCTGAATATGTTCTCAAGTAACATCATGATGTTCGTGACGATCTCAGGTCCCACATGAAGTTCGTTCGATTTTAATAAATTTATTTACTAACAGCTTATTAGTTTTGGCAAATTTCTTCAGAAGGCTTACAAGATGACATACCCTTATAGGTGAATCGATGTTTTGTGATTGTTTCCATCCAAACAGTGCGAAATCGTGCACGCGCTTTGGATTACTGGTACGTACATGTATTAGTAATTTGAAGTACGTGTATATTTGTGTAAATTGAACTAATACCATTACATCTGAGTGTGTTGCACATTGTATATTAAATATACGATCTAGCTCAAAGAATTAAATCTTTTTATATTCCATTCATGTTGCGCATGGTAACAAACTATGATGAGGAATTACGTTCCATGTTTTGAATTAAAATTACACGTGACAATTCTTGATTTTAGAAGAACATCACATTGTTTCATGGTTAATGTGGGGAGAAACAACAAATCATGCGAAATTATGAACGAACAATGATCTAAAATTACAAAAATTATGAGATTATACATAAATTGACGTCAATTATTAATAAGACAACAAATTTAGTGAACGACGCACTTGTCATGCAATGACAATTTCCAGTCGCAATCCTTTTACCCCGACAGTTATGATGTACTGCGCCCTCACCAATTGAATGTGCGTTTGTGTCCATCCATCGGTGAGGGCGACAATTCATCATCAATGGCGATATAAGTATGTCGCTTGGCGCATTTTGAATGGTAATACTTTAGACAATTGATCACATATCCTCGTATTATATATTTTCTAAAACGCATCTTTCCTTTAAACCACATAAAGTCTGTCAGTGTGAACGATAATCATTATTATGCAACGTATAGTTACATTCAAGAAAATTCTATTGTAATATAGATTTTTTCCATAACCACTCGTATCATACGATACCGCTATTTTGTCAAATTTCATATCAATTTTCTTAACTCTTTACGTAATTGCATGTATAAAATGTAAGTTCTTCCCGAATTTGCACTTGCCAAATATTTGAAAGGTACTATTTTCAAATCTAAGCTGGACCTTTAATCAATACCACGTCATCTCGATCATTGACCACCCCTGATTAACTAATGGTTCGTCCCAATGTATGACCTCTTTCGAGCGCATTAGTAATTTTTCCCAAGATGCAAGTTTGTTTGGTATTACGACACGTCAGGGCAATTCGCTTTCGCTTTATTAGGCGAGCTCGCTAGGCTAGTGTACTAACATGTAAGTCATACGTTATTATTTGATTTACTAGTAATGTGTTCCCCAGCAGTAAACGAACATTTATTTAGAGACCTGTTTCAACGTGTAAAAGTTATAATGCATGCGATCTATTATTATACTAACTAATTGCAAATTGAATTTTAATCGCTCCGGATATCATAAGTTATAGTTTTGAGATTTTTAATGTGCTATGCAAAAAAATAATCGAAATCCGAAAAATGCAATTCGTTACTCAAAGTAAATTTTAAAAAGC